GGGGGGGGGGGGGAAATATTATAGGGGTGGTGATAACTTTCAATTTTTAAAAAATTTTTTCAATCCTTTTTATCTATCTCCAATGTCGACCCTTATAAATATTCGACGAAAATCGACTGCGGATACTGAAAAGCTTGAGGGACGATATAAGGGTGTTGGCACTACTTTTCTATGTACGTATTTCTATGTACTATTATTTTAGTGTACAATTTGACGACCCTGAACAAGTCATAGAATCACCCTCCATAGTATCTTTATAGCTAATACTACTATACTATATATAGAGCTTGAGGCACGATATAAGGGGGTTGTCACTATTTTTCTATGTACGCTTATTAACTTTGTAAATTTTAGTGTACAATTTGACGATCCTTTAACAAGTTATAGAATCACTTTTCATAGTATCTTTATAGCTACTCGTGCGATTACCTGTCAATAAACCGCCATTTATGTTTTTGGTCTATCGGTAATCGGTTATCACGAATGCTAAAGTATATGACAATTTAAGCAAGTTTTTACAATCTGAAGGTATACGTTAAATATAGAAAGTGAATCGCTCGAAGCGATTAGGTATTTTGAAAAATATTTTTAACATTTTTTATATCCTTGATATAAACGGATATATGCACAAAATACAAGTTAAGCTTCATTTTCGACTGCTTTCACTGTACCCGTTAAAAATGAAATTATCCGGGCCTTTTCGTATGACTAATAAAATGGACAAGTGGCCGTGGCCACGTCGTAGGTACTTCGCGGTTTAATCGTAAAGAATAATAAAAGTTTAACGACAGCGTTACAACGTCATTAGACTCCCAGCAGCCTGAATAAAAATAACCAAGGCAATGACGATAAAGGTTCGAAACCCCTATTGCCGCTAATGGCTACAATGCTGGCTGAATGTTGCGGATAATTTAATGTAGGCACATCTCCTCGAATATCTTTTATATCGTACCTTCGCTGTCACTTTGACAAGCAATTTCGAGAAGATAAAAAACTTTTCTGTCAATTTAATTGTTTTTTGTACTATACATACGTTATTTCGAAAACACAACCAAAAATTTGAGCAGATTTCGTCCCTTTGTTTATCGGATGCCAATAGCGCGAGTTTGTTCAAGCCCTTTTAATCATCCCTTCAGCACTTTTTACTTGATGATTTATTTTCACCCTGTAGAGATTTGCACATTGTGAAGTATCATCGATAACCGCTTGGGCTCAATGCCAATATAAGCTTATAAATAAATTTTACGTATAAATGTCCGAGAGTTATGAAAGGTTAAAAGTTAATTTTGCAAAATATATAATTTCAAAAAATCGAAAAAAAAAAGTTTCGAAAAAGCACTCGCAGCGCTCGCACCGAATTGATGAATCGTAATGTAAAAATTAAATTTAATAATAAATCATCAGGAGAGAACGAACGAGAGGCTTGAGTCGGGATGATTTATTATGTAAGAGGACACTGTGGAATTTTTTTAATATATGTGAATCGGGTGTCGATTTATACCAAGAAATAAAAAATACGTAAGAGTGGTTCTCGCGATCCTTCACGTTTATCCTGACCTTCGTTTTCCATGATAATAACGCTAACGTGATATGAAGTCCTATACCTTCGACTCTTCTCTGAATTCGCAGATAGTATCCCGCAAATAGTATACGATGCCATAATCACGCGTTGGACGTTATTTTTGCCAAATTGGAATTTATCGGCATCCTTCTGGGAAATGACAATAAAGTTCCTACAGTTTTTCCGATACAGCTCTCGTACGTCTTGTAAAATATTTGATCATTGCTATGGCTTTCTACTGCGATGCAATTACCATTGCCTGGATGTATGTAATGGCCATATCAATTTATAGGGAAATTTCGAACGTTGGTACACATTACAAATCCATTGTAACTGCTGGTACTGTTGTCTATACTGCCATGGTAGAATCCTTGTCTACGCTGTAAACATAATAACACTAGACGTATCCTTACTGCGATACGGACACTCGGAGATAAGACATAAATTTACCTGAAATATAACGTTGAATTGTCAGATTGCTATTGCATTAAGTATAACGCTGCTTAAACTTTTTTTTTCGTTCGGACGTAAAAATTGGATTTTTGATTAAGCTGCTATTTTATTTTTTTTATCGACAATTGATTACAGTTAATCTACGACTTACGGTGTTAATACCACTTAAGGTTTTTTATACATGGAAAATTCATGGAAATGGGGGTCTTTAATCTTTTAATTACGAGAACCGACGTTTTTTGGGCTTATCCCTGGTACAAGGGGTGGCAACACTTAATCCAAAATAATCCGATAATTTTTTCGGATATATTAGACAATAACTAAATCTTGGTCCACCAAAAATTTCAATACGATTTATCGTGTAGTTTTTGAGATATAACAAATCTGAGTGGCAATATCCACTGTATAGATATACTCAGCCTATAAAACTGAATATATTTAAAATTCAATATCTTAATTTTCGTACGATAAAAAGTTATAATTTTGAAATCGAACTTTGAGGTTATTCTTACATTTTGACTGATTTATTTTCCAACTGAAAATGTTGGATTTCCTTTTCGATAGTTTGCTTAACCTTTGATTCCCTATTAATATTATGATTATTATCCCCGGAGCACCTTTAGGGTATACTCAAGTAAATTAGCGTTCTCTGATCTACTTTATCGACAGGAAAAGAGGCAAGAAAAGCCCGAGATGGCAATTGGAGGAGATTAGAACGGCGAGAGTCATTTACTCAATGAAAAAGGGATGATCGATATAAAATTTTGTCAGATGAAAATTTTGTACAGTTTTTTTTTTTTTCAATAATTTTGATCTCTTGATTTTTCATATATTTATAATGATTTTTTGCTGGAAGTTAATACGCATAATCGTATCTCATATAATACAACGTAAAAGCACTGTATACATATATCAGTGCCTTAGGAGGAATTTCTATTTAAACTGAAATTCTGCATGGGCGTGTTATTAAGAAAAAGAAAGCTCACTGTATAACTTAAATAAAGCTTCACCTACGTCACATTAACAAATCCAGACACAACGGAAGTCCCATAAATACTGATGACTGACTGTTTGTTTCCACGTGTCATTCGACTTGAATGAAAAGCTTTGAGATTACATTTCAAAGTTTTCAAGCTTATATTGAACTTTCAATCTCAAAGTTACTTCTGAACGTCTAACATTACTAGTGAACCAGTGAGCTATCAGAAACTTGTTATAGTACTACGGAACAAGTTTGAAAAGTAACCCTCCCCCCACCGACGTAATTTCTAACGACGATCGAGAAGTTCATTCCCAAGCGACACGATTTCTGACAAAATTGCACAGACCATGGTGAAAGGACCCTCGATAGATCAGAGGAACAAAGAGGGTGACGAAAAAGTATGCACACCCCATATAATATTGAACAGCTATTTTTAATTGGTGTTTAAAAAAAAAAAAATGATTGCATCGTCAATTCCAGGTATTGTGAAAAAATTGAATATTTTTTTCCTGTAGCTTCCACAATTTTTGAAAATCTTTGCCATTCAGTAAATGTACTTCAATTTCCTATCCGCAAGCTTATGCGTCTTTACAGCATCCGATGGGTATCGGAAACACTTGTTGATAACAAGTATACGTTTCAGGGGCGTATATATAGATATTGTCACGATACTATTTTATTACAGATAGATCGTCTAAATTTTTCGAAATCCTTGATTCGATCACGTATAATCTATATTCGCATTGAATTTTTATGATTATACGCTAAACAGCTCGTTAACTCGTTTCGTTAAAAATAAGCCGTAAGATTTGAAAGACTGCTTAAATTTATTTTTATTCCCCTTATATCTCACGTGGACATCTGTTTCCTTCATCACGTTGAATTAAACGGAATTTCCGGCATCCCTGGTGAGAAGAGGGCGATATCTATACGAGGAAGTTGGTCATTTGTTCCAAAAAAAATTTGGCCTCCCAGAGAGCCGTCCTTTCGTGAATGGAATGCGAATCTTCACGTAGTCTACCTAAATCCTACGGGCATCATCAATGAAATTCCTAGGGACTCCAATTCGCTCTCTATAGGGTGACTCGAAAAGTTCCCTCTATAGAATTCAGTGCCAATATTACATTTCATCGCCTGACTTGTCATTGAGACATCTATACGATGTTGACTTTTCCCCTTTTCTCCCCAATTTCATTCTTGTAGCTAGTTTCTTCATTTCTTTTATTGCCGCTCTTAGATTTAGCGCAATCGATGATTTTATCATCCTACATACGTCATCCCGTTGGTTCCCACTAATTTTTTTAATATACTACCTCGCCTCTGCTTGTATTACGTAATTTTGTACACTAATTAAGTTGTTTTTTTCTCCTTTCACAGTGTCACTAATTACTTCGTGGTCAATCTCTCCGTGGCTGATCTTCTCGTCACGATGATTTGTATGCCCATGGCTGTTAGCCAAGCTGTGTCCATCACTTGGGTCTACGGAGAGATCATGTGTAAACTGTTCTTCTATCTACAAGGTGAACCTAAACAAAGATAATTAATTTCATCGGATCAGTAGAATTTGGATTTTTTTTTTTCCACCAGACCATTTGCGAAACTCCGATAATATTTATTAGGCCAAAGTCTCATTTCCTGTTGGTCTGGCATAACGTCCATCTTTAACATGCGATATATTGCGGAACATTTTTCCTCAGGAATTCTTGCCCGAATTCACTTGCTCTTTGTCCTTTGACATTTTACCCCTTTGATTTTCACCCTTTCATTAATATCCTACCCTTACCTCAATACTGATATAATAATACAGATATCTACCCTAATGGCGATTCGTCATTAACCAACGCTAAAAATATGCTGTTGCAGTATTGGTATCCTGTACCACATTGAGGGGACTCTTATACCCTGTAAGCCCTAAGGAATTTGGCCCCTCGATAACGTACCTGTATTTACAGATAAGGACATTCAAATCATAGTGACATTACGATAAAGTAATTGGTTTAGCATTAATCAATATAACAGCTACCTTCCCTACATTGAATTCCTTGTGTGCAATTACATTAGGGTAAATTTCACAAGGACAGAATATAATGGGAATTCCTGAAAGTGTATGATGAAATCAATGATCCGTGCACAGATTAAAATATATATTTTGGATTTGCCTATTCAAATTTTGGATATATCACATGAATGGGTAGTTTTTAAGAATTTTTTTATCTTTGTGCGTTTATTTCTTTTTTTTGCTTTGTCTGACCTTTACCCTAATTTCATTTGCGCCTGGACTTAACCATTCTCCGGACGATTCACTTTGCTGATGAAGCCAAGTTGAAGTGTCGGCACACTTGGCTGTTCGGTGACCTTATCTTCCAGGGTGGACGAAAGTACGAACTGCCCTTACGAGACATCACTTTCTTCTAGTTTAACGTGCTTGGAATAAGGGATGCAGAGACCCCTGTAATATCATAATAAAGTTAAAAGCACGAGACGTTCCCGGGGAAAATGAATGACACTTTTGGCCCACGAGGGAGACTCGGTGCTGGCGTAGAAATATCACTCTCGGAATTTCAAATAAAATCTTACCAAACCACCCTGGCAGATAATACCGCCGACTGAATTTCTTATCATTATTCATGGCGATTAAAATGAATTTCTTGAATTTTTCGTCGCTTCAAAATCACATGGCGCACGGGTACACCGCTTCCGTAAGCACATACTCTCCTCTGCCTCTTATTGCAAAAGAGACGTTTACTTTATTTCGAATTTTTTAACGTCCGTCACTTCCTCTCGTAATCACGACCTTTGACCCGTGGAAATTCTTGGACTGGGGAATGTAACAACTTGTAACGAACCCTATATACGTATATACAATACTGGTAAATAAATTATTTTTGAAAAAATTTCTCCTTATATATGTGCAATATTTTCTACAGGTGTTGCAGTCGCAGCGTCAGTCTTCACCATCACTGCCATGAGCATCGACCGATACTTGGCCATTAGGAGTCCTATAGCCTTTAGGCGGGTTTTCAACAGGCGAAGCACGATCCTAGTAATTGCGGCGCTATGGATCGTGGCACTGAGTATTTTCGCACCGATACTAAAAGCAGTGAGTATTCCGTATCTTTTACGAATAAATATCATAATATATTACTCATTGATTTTACGGGTCATATCGACGATAACAATCAGTTGGAAATAACGCCTGTTTCATTTTTCAATAATGTTTCTTGAGCCCATTGACAATAGATTCAAATCCCTCGAGAATGTTATTTTCCGGATTTTCACTGTCTCACCAGGATATTTTTTTTTTTCTTTAAACTTTCATTCTTATCCCAAAACTGTCAAACGTGTAGATTTTCGTCCCGTTACAATCGAATATACACAAAAGTTCTTTTCAAAGTATAAATGAGCAGCTGCAAACAATTTTCAAAAACACACACGCACGCGCAATGAATCTAACTTATTTTATTGCAAGAATGTCTTTTGACTTGGAGAAGAACATTTTCTTTTCATTTCATTAATGTTTTACCGCCCCTCATATTTTCAGCGAGATCAAGAAAAAGTTACTTCATCCGTTTGGCCAAATTTGTCCATAGACAATTTCACTCTTTATTTGCTGCAATATTGTATTTCTGTGTACCGACGTCGCGTTCCGTATGGTTGAAATGCGATATTAGTTTTATGTTCAAGGTATTCTATTACTTTGTGTATCGTAAGGAGACGGACTCTTCAAGATTGAATTTATCGCCCAGCTTGACTTCAGAACGTAATAGACGATAGGAGGAAATGTGGGCGGACATGCTAAATAACATGACAGTCGCGAGGAATTGTATCCGTCAATATGAATAACGGGTTGATATGGGACTGAGTGATTTTAACGTTCTTAATCTATAGGTTACCCTGCAAAGCCCCATGAAGGATCTAGACAACATAACACTGGGTGGTGATCTAACTGGAGACGACGAAGGCGTCCAGGTCGAGAAACTTGCCTTCTACATTTGCTCTGAAGACTTCAAGCCTTTAGGAATTCACGCCCATATATTTGGCGCCGCCTGCTTCGTCCTAGTTTACGCAATTCCTGGTGAGGATGATAAAGTGACGTATGAGAAAATATTTTGAAAAAATTCTTTAATTAAATTAATATCACAATATACAATGAATCGCGCCAGTCTCACTTCTTTCTGACTTAGTGTATCCATAAAGCCATTTTATTTTACTTTGTCGTTACGTCATTGCAGGCTTCATCGTTATCCTGGCTTACTCGATGATGGGACGAACCCTTTGCGCCAGGAAGCCACCGTTTGACTGCGACAGTATTGAAGGCAGCGCAAGTTCGCAACAGGTTGACTCAAAATATACTTGATTAATTACAAGCGATATGGAATCGATTGACCTTTCGAGAATGATTATAGGGATGATAGGACAGTGGGAGACAGAGAGGTAAGGAGGGTATAGAAGGGGAGTGAAGGATTGCAGCTTTACGATTCATTAGGGTGCATTCACAGTCTACGGCGCTAGTTGTATTCTAAATCAACGTCGGTAATGGGCTAGAAAAACCTTCTACCTCATTGTATAATTGAACGCGTGTAAATTGGGTTTGGGTTAGTCTATTGCTTTAGTTGGGTCGACCCATGTCTTGTGTAGGAATGTCTAAATATTGCTGCGAGCTGTACCGACTAGTGACTCCAGTTTGGTTCTGTGCTGGAGAGACAGTTGCGTTAATTAACGGCTCGTTAGGTCGCATTCACTTGACTAAGAAAGCCTTCTAAGTTCTATTAGCACTGTCACTCTACATAAATATGGTGGAATAAATCGCTTTTCCAACAGTCGGTAACATTGATCTTGTATTAACACTGGATCTCTACGTTGGCATGGAATTATATTGAAGCCTAGTTCTCAGTTGCTCGACGAGTTTCCAAGATTGGTTTCTGTTTAACTTATCGCAAAGTTGAAAGCAGACTTCCCGTGTCTGATTATATTCTGCAACTGAAAAGAATCTCACTGTCTTTTAAATCAGCTGGGAGTAAACTTCTCACAGCATTCAAGTAATTGCATTTTTCTACAGTACAACTTTGTATTTCAATGCTCATTTGAATATGACTCGAAATTTATATTTTATATTTTGAATTAAAAAAAGAAAAGGAAAATCTTTGTCCTCGAATTACAATCTTGTATCTGCACTTCCATTACGTATCTGTAAAAGTGTCGAATTTCTGGAACAATTATTAAATTTCCAATATACCATTTCGTTGATTCGCTGTCAATTAAATTAAATTCACTGTTAGCGATGAAATTCGAATTTACTTTGTTGCCTCGTTAATTCAATCCTCAACTTTCAGGGTTTCCGTTTGGTGCGTGAGAGAAGACGAGTGGCATGGATTCTACTACTACTTGCAGTATTATTTGCGTTATGTTGGCTGCCCTACAATGTTCTGAGATTACTGCTAGATCTAGGAGTTCTCAGTAAGTATAGACCAATAGGACCGTAACAAATAAATATAATTAATATAGCTTAATGGAAAGGTCACGTAAGTTTCTATACGGTAATGGATTTTCAGTCAGTCTTAATGTCCAACAAGTTATTGCCAGGCGATGCAATTATTCCACTTTAAAAGTTTATCAAAAGATTTCTCGTGTCAGTTACTGAACCTGACATTTGTTTTCATCTGATTCCAGGTGAAGGACGAACAATATCGGACGTCCTCTCGTATTGCCTCTTCCTCGGTCATGCGAACAGTGCTTTGAATCCTATTGTATACTGCTTCATGACCCGCAATTTTCGCCGAAGCGTATCCGAAATCCTTTGTCGCAGTCCACACGGGTTGTCGCGCCGGAAACCCCATCGAAAAGTAAGTGTCGACTCCAGTTACAAGACATTAATAATCTCAGAGAGATAGATTGGGTTAGTTCTTGATGGGAAATATGAGGCAGTTAGATGCCGTATAAAGGCTGAACGCTTGACGAGCAAAGGATCAAGAAATCGAGTCAGGTGACAAATGAATTTTGAGGTAATCAATATTTTGGGAAACTTCAAGCTACGTAATACAAGTTTGATAATAGGTTAAAACTTGAAAGTAGCTATTTATTACATTAGTAATAATAATGAGGGTCGTCGAGTGCTTTTGTATTATTTTATTGTTACATAAGTCACATTTTTCTGATCAATCGTGCTTTTAATCGCAATAACGATATATATACAGATAAATAAATGGAATATATTGGGTGAGCCAAACTAAAGCGTGTGACGTTTTTCGAACTTTTACAGTCATCCATCACCCGGCGTTTAATTTACCTAAAACGTGCCAGGGTACAATTTTCTAGTACTTTTTTGCTGAGAGGAGAAACCCCAGGGCTGATGGCCTAGGCAATGATCGAATACCCTTGCTGATCTGCTTCGTGAAAATCTCTGAAACTTCATTAAATCCTGAGAATATAGCCAATTCATGTTTTTTTATTTTTTTGAGAAGGTTGTCTTTGCCTGAATGTAGAGAATTTATTTGATAACGCCTGGTGGTCCAGCAATTCTTTGGATATTGCGCAATTACCTTTCATCTCGTTACAACGCGGCCCAGCTAGCAGCTTCCTAGAATGTCGTGCCTTTGGCAGCTATTGTATTCTATTGGGTTGGCCAGAAAGTAATTGCGCTTTTTTTTTATAATAGATACATGTCTTTAAAAAAAACGCAATGACTTTTTGGCCGATCTAATACAATAAATTGTCAGAGTTTATGAGCAAGACAAATATCTAACTGTACGACTGTTGCCAGGACCATTGTTATATTTTTTCGCAAAAAAAAAAAGAAGTTTTCTAAATAATATTTCTGTTCTTTTACTTGTTACTTATGTTTAAATACCAGGGAAAAAATTTCGACAATGGAAGTGCCACTGCAGAAGAAATTTTTTCGTTCCAACAAATTGTCAGAATATTTTCTCTGACTTCAGCATTCGTTCGCGCGTTATCATAAAGCTTATCATTAATAAAAAATAACTTGAAGTATATATAAGTACTGTTGAAGACTTTTATGTTGCAGGTTACGTTAATTCTTTGAAAAATTCAATAACAATGTCATCTTATAACCATAAAAAAAGCTAAATGCAGATTTTACACTTTCCTTTCACTTTTCCTTTAAATCAGATAAGAGAAACATCTTTGTCCAACAGCCGCCAGTAAAATTCGACAGTTCAACGAAAAGTCCGAAGACAAATTATTTTTGCAAAACTACGAGTCAAACAAATCGTTGAGCGTTTCCCAGTATTAAGGTAACGCACCATTTATTTCCTTTTGTCAACCACAATCTAACGCCTCGTACTTAATTCATGGCAAGATTTTCTTTAACAACAAATACAAGTTTACAGTGTTGAAGTTTTCAAAGAAATCCTGCTTCCCATCTCGGTATCTCACCACGTTACAAGATCCATAGGGATCTCCGCGAGCCAACTTAACCTATTAGGAAAATGAAAAATTACGATAGAAACCATAGACAAATATATCACTCAGTCCTGATCGAAATTGATGCTGTGTGTACAGTGAGTTACAGTCCCAGCCATGAGAATTCCACAGAGCGAATAAATAAACACACTTTTATTTCACTCACGTCTCACCATAACGACTTCCAGTAGCAGACCGGAGAGACCGTGATCTCGTTTTATATATATCCTAACCTGATATCGGCCGCGCTGGATGTAGTTCCTACCTTATCGACCGAGCGTCTACTATACCTGTATACTGAAGTAGGTGAGAAATAAACACACGGCTACGTAATATCTTTGACTGTATATAAATATACGAAACATATCCCATGTCCTGTGCCCCGCGATACTGATATGAAAAAAAATATATCTATATATACCATTTCAATAGATAAACTCCATTTGCAGGTGTTCACGGCAACCAGACTCGCGTGACACCATACCCCAGAAGATTTTCAGTCTATTTACCTCTTGAGCTAACGGTAATACGTCACTTACAGAGGCACCTCAGCTACCTCCTACCCTTACCGTCCCTTCCGTCGTCTTCAAACACAAAATTCACGTTAGATGTACCACCCAATTTATTTACTAGTTCAATGTTCAGTACTCACGAACTCACCGAGAACATAATTTCCCTACTAAAACATACCCAAGAACCGTAACCCGTCTTATCTGATATCTTCGCATCGCGAAAACTTTTTCGCCCTTTTGGTAATCTTTTATTTTCCTCATACCTCGAAAGCAGCATATACGTATGTATGCATTCACCGACGAAACTTTTCCGATGCCTTTTTTTACGTCCCATTCTTTTAACCCAGATTCTTTGAAAGTCACGGTCACTCTCTTTCATCCAATTAATATCATCATCTCTGCGTCCCTACTTTCTGGTGATAGCTGACGCACACGAAAAGCTCTTATAACCAAGTTCCGGGTTCTGCTACTACTTTGGGTATCTAATTATCCAAATCGCTTCGTAATCAAGGTATGATTGATTAAAGCCGTAATTAGCCTCTATAAATAGACTCCTCGGAAAGTTTCAATTTCTGACGAGGTCAGCGCTGGAAAAATGTGATCGTTATTCAGACGATCCCAGTTTACATGGTTGCCTATGGTAACCGTGTATAGTATACGGAAAAGTTAAGGGTTACTAGTCGGGTTAGCAGGAAATCCCAGGATGCCGATCAAGTAAGACTTGCCTTCTGAACGGTAATGGTTCCCGTTTCGTCCCTGGATTTTCGTTCCGATAGTTCGGTGTTGTATCAAATAATTTCAAGTAGCATTTAGAGTGAACTTTCCCAGTTTTTCGATTTTTATTATTGTCTCCCGAACCCAGGACCCCACCGCGTAATAGGTGTCCTTGGGAGACAGCGGTATAACTCAGCTTATACCTGGCGTCCAGTAAATTGAGTATTTCATTAATTATTTCTGGTGGTGCCATTTATTTGTACGATATCGTAGAAATTGGAATAACCTGTGATATTGATTGGCCCTTAATATTTTACTTCATGGACAACATAGATTTTCTTCTAACCTAAATAATAAACGAAAGACAAAACGAAATACTGGAGATGTCCCCTTTAATTAACGAGCATCATCATCCCCTAGTATCGGGTCCAATGTAGCCTAATTTATTTACAACCCTCTGTATTTATTCTCCCTTAGAATCGTACACGCAGATCAGATGCTCAACGGGATATCCACTTTGCTTATTTATTGGATGCGATTCCCACTACGTTTCTCTACCACAGCTACAAATACGTTGTATAATATGTACTAGGTATTACGTGCACTATACACCTACGAGGATACTTTGAGGTTTTAACTCAAATCACAATTTATTAATTATAAAAGTCATACCCCCCTTTAATATTATGGTCCATTCAAATTTTAGCTAAACGAAAGAAAATTCATATGCATCAGTCGTAAAACGTCTTAAACTTGAGCTGACAAATTTATGTAAAATGGAAATTACCAGTCGTTACTTCACGCTGTTCGTGTTACGACGGTAATAATTTTTTATTCATCTATATTAATCTGAAATTTTCTGTGCGGCCCGTTGCGCAATCTTACGAGGATCTATACGATTTTCGTGGCTCTTATTAAATAAGATTTGGACAGAAAGGAGAGTAATCGGGTCGATTAGCTTTGTCGAAAGTGTATAAGGAATGAAACGAAGAAATCGTTATGGAGGTGGCCATAATAGTTGGCGCTTTTGATGGTCGATAATAAAGATTTCTGTATCGTGATACGATGGAGCCATAAACAGTTTTATTTTGCTTTTACGATAAACACACGCGTGGACCCGTCCTGCGAACTTGCGAATAACATGATTTTGCGACTTTGGCCAATTTGCGGATTATTTTGGATAGGTTGCACAAAATATCACGCTAAATTTATACGAGCGAATTAATCGGATAAAGAGAATTTCGTGGGATTACTTGCTCAGACCTTCTATACGATTCTAGAGACCCGTTAACACAGTGGACATTTTGGGACTGTATATAGCTACGCGCTGTTAACCAGGGAGCGACGTGGTCCTCGAAATCCTTGGATTTTTCAGCGACGCTACGAATTATCCAATAAGTAAAATTGTACGTGACGAACTCGCTGTATACTACATATAAATTCTGTCATATCGTAAATCAAATTACGTAAATATTTTTATTTTATTAGTTATCTATCGGACGTTTATTAAAGTCGAAATTGGTATACGGATCTAGATTATACATGTAACTTGAGAAAAAAAATTGTCTATTTCCAGCCTGACGTCCTTTTCCACGTCTAACGCAATTCGCATTGAAATATCCATGAACGAAATTCAAAGTGAGTAACCACGTGGTTCTCTTTGATCTTGCAGAGTTCCACAGGGAAGAGCGGGAAATTCAGTTACCACTTTGATAAATCGAACGAATAATTCACGAAGTGCCTAAAAGTCATGCAGTCCTCGTAGAATACATAAATGTTATTTGAAACCGAGTCAAGTAAATACAGTACAATGGTAGACTTCGGAGTTTAAAAATATCTTAAGAAATTTGATTATCGTGAAAAATGATGTACCTGATGTTACCTAATAAACGAATACGTATATTGATATAGAATTTTTCCAAGGGCTTATCAATTCTCAAAGGTAGGCCTGTTAGACCAGCTCAGGATCTCGATGATGGGTCCAGGTGGGGAGACCTCGGTCCTAGAGTCGAGAACAGTCGGTGCTGTTGGAGTGGGTGTGTTGTGGTTCCAGACTTTGGGGGCGGCTGCGGGCGTCTGCGGCGGCTGCAGCGGAGGGCCCCGTGTCCTGGGCCCGATCCCCGGGGTTCCCACTCCAGGAGAAGCCCACGGAGTACTGGCTCTGCAGAGGACCGCAACGTCGAGCAGCGGCTATGACAGCTTCTACAGCCGGCACAGTCCCCATCGGCGATGCTACATGCTCAAGGCCCTGCCCCTGGCCCAGCAATCTCCCGTCCAGGGAACCTGCCCTCCGGGGACCGGGCCGACGGCGAACGGATGCGCGGGCCCGATTCGCAGTCACAGCAGCCATAGCAGCCACAGCATCCACAGTGCGGCGAGTTCCTCGCATTCGCACAGCCACGTGCACGGGAATGGTAAACAGATCACCACGCAGATCACGGATTCTCGTCGCTACACTTAGAGGACGCCATACTTTTTTTATCTCTACGACGATCTTGTTCGCCCCTTCTTGCAGGAGGCTTCTCAAAGGCAAGGTGGCATTTCCTCCAGTCTCATGGGTCGCCAGTCACCATTTCTGCCACTCCTCGACAAATGGTCACTGTGAATTTTTTTTTTCTTCTCATCTAATTATCACCTACATTCCTCTCGCCTTCGAATTCATTAGACAGTCTTAATAGTTATGACGTAGATTTATTTTTTTATTTTTACCTTTCATCCAGACTTACATGGTTGCCATATCTTTTAAACGTCGATCGACCTTCGTTATTATGCTGTGTGTATATTCCTTGGCATACAATCCCCTAAGACTATATAGACTCCCCACGCCCATAATGTTTCCATTAATTAATTTTCATCCTTTTAGGTCGGGGGGTGGGGATTTGCTGCTCATTAGCATTGTTTGACGCTTAGGCATTTGGGCTAAATCATTGTTTGTCGAAACAAATTTCCTAGTCTAGTACGTTACAGTAAAATAGATAGTACGACATGTGCTATGTTGTAGAAAGGGTGGATATATTGGATCATTTTAGGAACGTTTATCAACGGTACAGGTAATAAAGGGCTGTAATAAAATTTCGCAAGCTCATCCAATGGGAATTTCAAGAAAATTCTTTTTAATCTTACTCGTTATCTTAGGTATCAAGGACTCGTTAAAAAGACACGGATTTAAGAATTGCACGAGCCAATGAGGAAGTACTGTTCAAACAATAAAACTCACCCTTTGGCTTTGATCCTCCAACCTTAAGTTGGTCGTAAAGCCCAAAATAGCCTTTAAAGATTTTCTTTTTTATATCAATCCTCTCTTTCTGTCTCTCTCTTTTTCCTTTTATACTTTTATTTTTATATTCAGATCAATCCACCCTCGATTAAATCACGATATTCATATTTGCAGAATCTCGCCTACACGAAGGTCGTCTACAGGAGTAACCAAAAGTCGCAGCCGTCCACGGGCCAACAACCAATCACGAATCAGCCTGCGACGACCCTTGTCAACTCTGCTCAGACAACCGTCACAAATTATCCCAGAAGGATCCAAGTCTGTCAGAGAGTTTCCTTCGATGACAGATCCGCCAAGACGTGAGCGAGAGAGACGTCGCCAGTACCATGTGCATGGATATCACGAAAGCAGTATTCAAGTGTCAGGAACTTTATTAGAATAAGATAGACAAGTATGCAGATATATGGTTATCTGCTTGTTCAAAAACGAATCTGAACTTTGAAAAATAAAGATATGAGTGATGGGCAGCATTAACGACTGCATAACAAATGATGACGTGTGTGAAAATATTGTTTGCGATAGCGAGCTCTTATCTAAAGTAAAGAAAAGGATATGGAAAAAAAATAAGAGGGAAAGATCGTCCTTGGATGATAATTCCTTTTTTATTTTCCTCCCCTGTATAAACATTATTGTAATATGACAAAACGATGCAAATTGAACGATCTTACGTTTCGCCGCATAAGATTAAGATAAACGACTTTGACAACCAACGGGGATTATCACTCGCTGATCGGGCGGTAAATTGATTTTGAACGAAATTTCATTTACTCTTGTACTCAGATAAACGTCGAATAACAGTCACGTATTGGTAATACAATATAAAATGGCAATTTGGCAAAATTACAGTGACGTATGTCAAATTATGGTTTATAACTGTCATCCCTGAGTATGAAACTGTGACATTGTTGATATGTAAGATTTTATTTTGTGATTGATGGAAAATCAGTGTGTGTGAAAATCTATGAGTGTTCCATGTATTTTCTCTGAGTATATTTATTTAATTTCTTTTTTTTGTTTGTTTTGTAAATATTTATGTATTTAATGGATTCTCGACAGGTCGACGACTGCTCGAGATGAAAATTAAATCAGGATGTACGAAGGAGGTGAACAAAGAGAAATGTGAAGAGGGGGATGCTGTGAGCGCCAGAGCAAAACATTTGACATTAGTTAAATCAAGAATCCTTTCGACGTTTTAATATCGTCCCGTATACGAGATTAAAGGTCATTAGATGAACGACGAGGGAGAAATAAAAAATTACGACTAATGTATAACATAGGGTCAAAGCGAATCGATGTACCTAAAATTGTCTGTAATATTTGTTAAAGGAAGTGCAAGGAAAAACACTGAGAGAGATCGATGTTGTAACGTGATTTGCCTGTATTTTTGAATAAATAATATACGAAATCGAATCGGTCAGATTTAACCATCATTTTTCATGTACGTAGAATTTATATTTTATACTTAATTTTCTCATTGAATCTACAACGTACCTTTGTCATAAATTAAATCATTTTATTTTCAGTTTCCCCATATTCTCGGCTGATGCTTTTCACAAAATTGATACGGATCGCTTCACTTTAAGGAAGTTCGTCGCTGTCAGGCGTGTTAAACCAGAAGGGGATTCATAACTGATTCGCCAAACCTTCTCCCCAAGTCGAATACTTTTCGGAACAGCGAGAACCTTTATTTTCGACGTGTTCTACTTTAGCTAGTGATTCATACAAGAAAATCACTTTCGTTGGCATGCCTACCATTAGAGCCTAACAAATTTGACTTTCAATTACAATTAATACATCTAGAAGTGACATTTGAAACTTTACATAATGGACTAATTGTTACTGATAAATATGGTGTACAATTTTTAACTATGACCAAGCATCCTTTTTAAGGGATCACCCACCGGAATCAATTCTTAATATAATACTGCTTCCAAGCAAATCATTTGATCTGAACGTATATCAGGATCAAGAGATCTCTTCTGAAAATATCCTCCTTATTATTGAGGTTATTTGATTCGCCAGGGACTTTGATATTCCTGTAATGGAAATATTATTTCTGCTCTATGCAATTCTACCGAGGCAATCTCGCTCTATCTCGCTGTCAGTCAGGATCAAAGTCACTTGCAATCACGTAACTCCTTTGACCACATGGACTTTTTATGTGAAGAGAATATATTTGCGATTAAAATAAGAAGAGCATCCTTCGATTTGACTTTGGAAAATATATCATTCGTCATATTCCAATTTTCAATATTCAAATTTTCTTCCACACACAATTCTTAAAAAGAATAAGATACTCGAGTTAGTTTAAAGGGACGACTTGAGGGAAGGGATAAGAGTTATCGGCTATAAGGATCTCGACCAAGCAGAATTGTTAGTTCTCGAATTTGACTATTGTCAAAGCAGTCTGTCTCGAGACACCGATCAGAGTGCCTCGAGCTGCCTCGCGCTCCCGGGTTATTTGTTTATAGTTTTTTTTTAACTGTTCTTCGGAAGTACAGTGCTGTGCTATGGTGCCCACCTGAGTGTTCCCTGGATACAGTTATCGGCTTTCACGGATCAGCTGGACCAGCTCCGGTGAGGATTTCCAATTTATTAATTGGTGAAGGGATTTCGATTTTATAGCTACGGTTCGTTTTCCTACGTTCTCCATAAATTGCTCTCTGTTTCCGGCACTATTTATCTGAAGCTTACTCTACCTCAACCTAGCAGTCGTGCCAGGGTCGTGCATTTCCGTAACCGTGCGTGGCACTTTTTTACGCGACCTTATAAATCCGACAGGATCCGTTAAGCTACCGTCTCTTCTGATACGTTTCGTCAGAGCTCTCGTTTTTTCCGGAGTTGAGACTTTTCCACCTCAACTCCCATGTCATACCGTCTCGTCAGTTTCCGGTGAAACCAGAATCGGCCGGCGCCCGCTTGGCATGCGGATGCATGGTCGAAGGGTGGACGGTCGTAAGTGACGTAGGTTAGCTCTCGGATTTTCATTGTCGGTGTCGGGTTGACAAAATACGTTACATATTATAATTACCGTTTTGACTGTCCCTCTAATTGAACTACTTGCATGGGTTTGTCACCGAATCGAGGATAGCTATAATTGTACACCAATTACTTTAAAAACGGTACTTGCCAAAGTACTGGTAGAACGTTACACTTGAATTACCAGCTAACGAGAATGACTAAAGTCACGTCTCGAAAACTACGACCTTTGAACGTCGGAGAACTTTTCGACAATCCAGGGATACGAACTTCCATCCAGGCAGAAAAGGAATTTCGAATCCTTTTCATTAAACTAAGGAACGTTCCTAGTTTCCAAATATAAAGTAAAATTACATGATAGAGTAGATTACGTAATTTTGTTACCTTATGCAAATATATTTGTTTTCATTTGACTAATTTCATAACGGTATCACAAATCCTGTGTACTCTCATAATTGTAGAACAAAAAATAGAACTAAAATTTATTCTTCGTCGCCACCTTGAAGAATTACTTCGTGTTAAAAAATCATATTTTTTATTTGAAATAATTAACCCTACTTTTTCCTACTGCTACCAAGTAGCTCCATTTATCTATATACAAGTATATTTTATTATACTTTTATTATACCCACAATTCCACGTAAAAAGTTATGGAACGTGATACACATGTGGCGATCATATTGGATAAAAAAAATAATTAAGGAATATGGGATAAGGAAAGAAAAAAAAAAGTAATTCCTTGACGGTATACATATGCGAAGCAGATAACTCATAAATTACAAGATTTAGTGAAGCTTTTACGAGCTGGCTTTTAGCTTTCGCAGTGCGAAATGGCCTTGCAGTAAGATAGCGGGAAGATATAAATTGGATTTAGCAGGAATAAAATTTTTTTCGCTAAATATTACAAAGTTTCATAGATTGCCTAAATTAAATGAAATCGATGCGAATTTTTGATGAAATTATTTTAATTTCGTTCTGTACCAACGGGGTAGAATTCAAATATGAAAATGATTGGTCACGTGGGTTTTACATGATACTTTTATTTATGAAATGTTTCGTTGTACATTATCATACACTGACAGACGTCATTACATGACACGATCACAAAAATTACAAATGTCTTACAAGGAAATTTGTACAGCCATTCTCACACGTAGGTGTTTTATAGTAATTGTAATATGTCTGCTTAAAATAAAGTGATTTATCAAAAATCGTTTTGTTAGCCGTGTTAAACGGTGACGTAATAATTAATATATTCCATTGTGGCACGTGGAACGTCACGAGGGCGTACCGATTTTAATCGCTTGTGATTATTTATCGTAAAATACTTAATTACGATACAATTGGAATTATTCCTGAGAACTGTTTCAATTTGTAAGTTGGTGTATAATGCCTGTGTAAATACATACGTACGTGGAGAAGATAGAGAGGATATTAAAAATATCAGGGAAAACATTCAGAAAACGTTCACACGGTATGGAAGAGACAGTTTCACTTTTTTTTTTTCCTTTTTTCATCTCATTTTTCGCCTTTAACATCGAGAGGCAATAAACTTCGTTGGCCATACTTTTTCCTTTATTTCTGTATAGCCATTAATGAGATCCACTTTGTTCCTAATTGGTGGGTACACTCTCCCTTTCCTTTTCGCGTAAAAATAATCGATCGTATAATTTCAACGACGAATATACAAATCACGGTATACATTTGAGATACACAAAATTTTCATAAAAAAACACATCAAGATCGTCCCCGTTGAGCTTCCATTATAAAATAAATAAATGTCTCAGTATAGCAATATGAGAAAAGAAAGGATATTGACATTCTTTTTTTTTTCGTCGACCTGTAGAATTTGCGAAATTAGGATTTTAATTTGATTTCGATTTAACCGTCGAAAAGTTTTTAAATCATTTTTTATTCTTCCTCCTTCCTGAAAGCTATGCGAAGACGGCCCCCCACATTGCTACTTCTTCACCATCTGATATTTCCACTTCGTAGATCCTTGTAGGCCGAAGCCGTGATGATTCCATGATTCTGGCTGTAGCTATTTAGTGAACGAAGATTTCTTGCTACCTGAGGCTTTTGAATGCTGCTGTGTCTCAGGTGATTTTTCAACGTTTGACTTCTGGTTACAGCGCTTCTCATTAACCTGTGATTTTCCAAGTGATTTCTTACGTTCTGAGGATATCCCGTAGTCTCTGCCACTTCCGAGATGGTGCCTATCGACTGACGCTCTCTCATCGGAATTGTTTGATTCAAGTAATTTTGAATAGCTTGATTTTGCGAAGCCACGTGGCTCTGTTGTTGAACCGTGACGTGGCCACTACCGGCAAAGTGCTTTGCATAGCTGTTTGGCATCTTCGTGAGATACTTGCTCTGATTATTTGGACTCTCCTGATTGGGTCTTTTTGGTAAAGTTCCTTTCAGCTGATTCACTGGGTTCTGATTAGATATTCTGTGTACCAGCTGAGGCTTTCCAATTTTACGTGATTTCGATTGGGCTTGAAGAGTCGACCTGACCCCTGTTCCACGCTGTAACGAAAAGGAAGAGACTATAGAATTTGAATCGAGAAATCTTTGAAAAAATTTATAATAATTTATTAATCGCGCCTGTCGTGCCTTGTGGAAAATATTAAATTCACGTATGTCGTTGAAACACAAAATATTCGTGACAGACGTGTAATTAGGAAATAAAAAAAAATATCATGCACTCTTAGGTTAAGTTCCGAAATTCATTGCCAGTTTTGCGAGCACAGTCGCGTCTCAATCAGTTGCATTGAGGTAAATAGGGATACGACGATGCCCTCAGTACTGGCAGTCAATTTCGGAAGGTACCTTTGGTCGTGGGACTTCAAACAGAGTGGCTACAGTACCTAAATGAATCCCATACGACACGTTACCTGGAACGACAGAATCTCGATTTACAGGCTGATTCTCATTTATCCAAAATGGCAGGAGATGGACTTACAAGAGTCACTTGATCAGATTGTATTGATCGTTGTGATTTGGAGAGCTGCTGCTGCGGCTGCTGCTGTTGCTGCTGGCTCAGATAAAGGCAGCTCTTTGCCTGACCTGGTGGTAAATTCCTGAAGTCGCCGTTCACCAGGTTGTAAGCATATTGCACTGTGTTCCTGCCTGATTAATATTCACACGAATTTACAAACATTGTTACTTTAACAACATTTTGTAAATAATTATTCTCTTTATATTACCATTTTGCTGTAGCTTATCACCCATCATCATATCTACATTAACCAGTTGACTCTTTCCAGTCCTACCATGACCAGCCATATAAGTAGGTGCTATCACCTTCCTGGGTGGCAGTGAACGGGCTTGTAAAAATTCAATAATTATATAATAAATTATTGTCTACATAAACAGTAGAGAGTTCATTGTTTTCATTACCATGATTGTCAACCGGAAGTTGATTCTTATAGACGTCACCCTTGGTCATCCTTTCCTTGTGAAAATCATCGCAGGACAGATGGAAGCTTTTTTTAGCAGTGGCGTCGCCCTGGCCGACGCTCGACGTTGTTTCCTTCCTAATATGCTCCGAGAGCCGTCTTATCCTAGACTTGGACCTATCAGAAAATTTCTTTCTTAACCTGGGAAGCACGAAAAGCAGCAAAGAACCGTTTGATCAGTGGATGCTCCGATGACTCTGAGTTATTGATGACAATGCAATTCTGGCATTTAACTCACATATTTTTATGCTTCTTATGTTTCTCGTCCATCATGGCGTAGAGTTTGCTTCTGTACTCCTCCACCGAGAGCTGCACATCATCCCTGAGTAACGGTATAACACTGGAGCCGCGTTCGGGTTCATTACCCTTACTGTGAAAGCTACAAAAGATATCGTATCTCTATAGAGTCTTGAATGACACCATTATTGTCTACAGGTCTCTGCTGAGCACTGATCAATCGATCCCATTAAATTAAACCTGGACTCACTCCGCTACATAAGGATGTTCCAATGCCTCGACAGCTGTCAGTCTGAAGTTAGGATTAAATACGATCAAGTTCTTTATCAGATCCAAAGCGCTTCCAGAGACATCAGGTAGCAATTCCTTCAAGCTTCTTCTAGGTCCCGACGGTGTCTTCTCCAAAAGATTTGTCCCGTATCCAGCACTCACGGACGCCAGATCTGAAATTATGTACGTGCAACCTCATTGGTTTGAGTATTTCCTAATAAAAGATAATTGCCGAGTGAAAATATTATATGGAATTATTTACCTTCTTCCGTAGGTGGCGGCAAAGTAGCCATTATTCTTTCCACTTGATTTATCGTCGATGAACCTGGGAACAATGGCTTGCCGAGTAGCATTTCTCCTAGGATGCAGCCAAGAGACCACATGTCGATACCCTTGGTGTAGCTTAATGGATTAAATCTTTCAATGAGAAGTTACTGACTATCGATTGGTATAGTATATAGTTTGAAAATGACAAACCGTTTGGATGCTATAAGAATTTCCGGCGCGCGGTACCAGCGAGTCGCTACGTAATCCGTCAGGGTAGGATCGCTTCCGTTTTCGCCATCCCCTTCCCCAATCTGGGTTACCGATCTGGCCAATCCGAAATCGGCGATTTTGCAATGACACTGAGCATTCAGCAAAATATTCGACGGCTATCGATACAAGGAGGAATTACAGGTATTAAACAAAATCGCATGAATAAATATTCACTGATATAATTTACCTTTAAATCCCTGTGAATCACATTTCCGGAATGGATGTATTTGATCGCTTTGAACAACTGGTACATAATGAAGATCTTGTGAATGTCCTTAAGAATGTTACCTCTTTTGATGACATTGTGCAAATCGGTTTCTGAAAAGCATAAACATCTTTATTACATTTATTCATCATGATTTTGTAGAGAATAATAATTTTCGATAATCGAGCTCACCCATGTATTCGAAGACGAGGTAAATATCCCGATCATTATTTGCCTTATGTAGGCCAATAAGTTGGATGATATTTTCGTGATTAGCAAACGATAAAAGAAATACTATCTCGCGGAAAGTTCTCTGAGCATCTGTTTGATTTCTGAAGGCGTCAAAGATCTTCTTCACTGCCACCGTCTCCTTGGAACGTTTGTCCACTGCCTTCCATACTATTCCATAAGCCTACAAATTTATCATTTAGTTTTCATTATAACTATATGAAATCTTTTATTCGTTACTTCGTTCTTATTATTGGTTTTTAATCGATAAAATCGTTGTGTCCTTAAAACGCGACTTGCGGAATGTCACTATATATATTTCATGTATTACATATTATTATCTTATGACACGAGAACCTGGCACATTTATTGATTGTCCCTAGATATGTTTCTATGCCTTGTGCGACAGTCTTGAATACTAAATAACTTGGCTTTCATTGTTTTATCTATATCTCCATGTAGCCTCATACCCTATGTACACCTAATGAGTTTTCGGTTTCCGGTTAGGCCGTTTCGAAGTTAATAAGAATGTTGAAAATGATTTTATATAATTCCTAAATACTATAAAGGAATACAATAAAAATTTATTAACGATTATGTTTGTATTATTGCACGAAATACCTAATACACATTTACTTTTCTAAGCAAGTGCAAAAATTACGTAGGTGGACGGGAACGTATTTTGCAAACATGTTCTGTGGGATATTTTTACGAATTGATATAAGTTCATGGACATTTAAGTGTTTCTAAGTACGTTTAATTAGGTGTAAGATGTTACCGGTGCTAAATAGATTATGAAAAATATTAATTTACCCCTTTGCCAAGACGTCGAATTATGTCGTACTGTTTGGTAACGTGATTGTCGATCTCAGAAACTTTTTCCGTGTTACTCTTCGCCGACATCCTTGTTTTCTTTTCCGTAGGGCGAAGAAAAAGTTCAAAGAAGATAGAAGAATCTTCAGGCGGCGTCGGGAAAGGTACCGCAAGAGGCTGCTGAGGACGATGAAGATGCGGTGGTCGTCTGGATCGTATTCACATTTTTCCACATCAGGAAGGAAGACCGAGTGGGATGGTTTTTTTATTCAACCTTTGACACATCAATGTGGTTGTGTTTATGGAATACATGCTGGTTGCCAAGACGACTCTGTCCAGTGCCACCCACTACCATGCTGCCAGCTACCATGTGATTGCTGAACAGGTAACCAAAGGCAGCGCGGACTGTTTTGTATTAAAAATGTGATGCGACAAGTGCTTTTTTAAAACTATTTATAATTAGGGGAATAATGATTAAGAAAATATGAAGGAAATGGGATTGATTGAATGTGCATGTACGTCATTGAAAATGAATTTTGTATTTTTTTCTTATCAGAATACAAATAATTACAATAAGTAATTAATCAGCTGTGACTTGATCACGCAATATTGCTTATCGATAATAAAGTATTCATAATTATTAGTTTTAGTGTCAGCAACGATTGCGGTATCGCATTTTCGAATACTTGTCACAAAAACTTCTTTATTAAAGTACTCCACAACCAAATAAACCATGAGGTTTGCATAGTGAAAAACAAAAACTGTAGAATGAAATATTTACCCTGCGCAGAAAATATTTGAGGCTGAAATGCATTGAATGGTCCCAAGGGATATAAAATATAACGAAAAATGTAGAACATAAAGTAAAAACGGAATGATAAATTGATATTTTTAAATCTCAACAAGTCCCGATTCACTCTGAATAAATGCCAATATTATATGAATCTTAGAGTATTTGATTACAAAATAAATTTTTTTTTTTTCACAACAGTGATAAACTCTGTGAGAGACCCTATGTATGCCTCAATATACCAAACTAGTATAGGTGATATCACCTAGATTTGATGCAAAATCATTTTCTTAATAAACTTGACATTTTGTTGAGTACATGCACAAATTACTATGGTTTCTTTTAAGTATATGTTGTGAAAGTATCACAACTTTTGCATAAATCCAGTATTATATCCCTTTAGCTGAGCCTGGTAGAAGGTATGTATATAGCCTATTTCCTAGGCTGCTGGATTACAATAGGACGCGAGCAGTGGGCAGGACGAGCATCATGTGTCGGAGCAGGCTTCTCATGAAAATGCTGAACCGCCTCTGGTGGGAAGTCTGCATTTCCTCTTGCTGGAGCTCCACTGATCATCATTGTCTTCGGAGGACTACAAAGATACATATCAGCATAGTTCTACTATAAAATACACTTTATTTCTATATTACATATTCTACGTTATGTTTATATATGAGTAATCCATCATAACACTGACAAGATACAGGTAACATTCAGATAAAAGAAATACACATTTTATATGGATAGACTACAGGCACATCATTGTGCAATAACTTCCTTTCTTATTTTAACAGTAAAACAATTAAATAGGCTAGAGATAAAATTGCCATGTTAATGAAATACCTAATAACCAGAATTAATCTTATTTACCTAGTTGAAGGTTTAGCATCTTCAGATTCCTTACTGGGCTTGCTCTCACGTTCCTCCTTTGGATTTTTATGTTGAGTTATTCTCATCCCTCCAGCCTTAACTGAAAAATTATAAACGACGTAAAAGCAATTCAATTCTCATGACCTTGGCAAACGAAGACGTCACTCTCACAATGCAAGACTGCAATTCCAGAAACATATCTAATACCAGTATTAAAAAAAACACGTCTTACCTGCTGGTGGATGACCACCTTTCAACTCGCATTCCTCGGCGCTTGACATAGCTCAAGAAATAATTTGAAATTACGAATTTCTAGTTTGATAAGGTCAATATGTTTCTCACTGGACTTTTCCAACAGTCTGCCACACTTAACACGTTGTTCTGTTGCCAAGAGCGCTGTGCGGATGACGACAGATATGAAAACGTCCCGTCACAAATATGGCTGCCCAAGAGAGGCAATTACAAGGCTTTTTTTCATAACATAAATCCTCTTCCACTCTTTATTAATAAAAAATACATTCTAATGTTGCGATTAGATAATGAATTGTATATGCAACTATTGCAAAAATACTATAACGTTAGTTAATATCACGATTGCTGTTTTCATTGATCTCTACATGACCTATTGACATTTAAAAAATTTTAATGTCGCATCACAGCGAAAGTTATTAGCGATCCTATTGGCTTACTTAAATATTCTAAACGACTAGTTACATTAACAGAAAAGTATACAGGAAGTTAATAATGATAGAAAAAATATGTTGTACTTAGTTAAGAATCAATTTTATTAGACAAAGAACATTTTTAAATGAAATACATTATTTTTCCAGTAGTTTTATTACTTCTTGACCTTTTCCTTCTCTTTCTGTTCCTGATACATGTAATGGAGATCCTTACAGTCTTCATCAGAGATGTGAACCCATCCGGTTGACTTCATGTGATACACTGTAAAAGAATGAATCATTTTTCTCATGGTCTTAGAGTTTAAAAATGTGAAAAGTCATGGAAAATATATTACCTCTGACAATACCGCCGGAATACGCATCTCTATGAGTAGCATGGTAGATAGAACGTCTGCCAAGTTCATATGCTTCTTCGTCAGCTAAGTCCCAGCTATAGCCAGAGTCTAGGACACCGTAGGCGAACACAGAACCAGAACCGACGCTGAATACTTTGCCTGAAGTACGAGTACCTTCTGAATCAATATAGTATAATCCCGGTCCGCGTTTATCCCATCCAGCAAGCATCATACCTAGATGAAAATATGAAAGTAAAATAAAGTGATTTACCAAAGGCTAGTAAATTGATGTCACTCGAGCCAACTATCATTCTTACCCATGGACAATCCCATTCCTTTATAATTGTAGACCATATTGGATAAAAGCTTGCTTGCTGCAGCTATAGAAATACGTTCTCTATTCCTCAACTCATACATGCGACATTGCTTTGCCAGAACACGATCCCAATATACACAATCAGCTGCACCACCAGCCAGGGTACCCAAGAGGTAGTCATTAATTTCAACAATTTTTTTCATAGACTGGGAACCTAAAGAAATATAAATTGTAAATACTCAGTTTAAAAGAAGTGAGATCTATACACAAATTATTAGTAAAGAATAAATCATTTTACCAATGAACTGGCCACCAGTTGCACGGGAATCTACTGCCAGGACTACTCCACCTTGATATCGAAAACCCAAAGTCGTAGTTCCATGATCAAAATTGATTTTAATGTGTTTTCCAGTTTCATCACTTCCTTGAGCTAAAGCAGCCAAATTTTCTGCAGGCTATAAAATATCAATTAAATAATATATATGGTTAATTTTTAGTAAAGCAAATTAACAATTGGACAATGAGAAACTAATGAAAATAGATATTAAACACCTATATAATAAGAAAGAGTAATATAACCCTACACATACTAAATCAAAAATAAGAGAAATAATCAGTACAAGTTTAATACTATAATAATTTAGTGGTTTTATATCAAATTAAATATTATAAAAATGAATAGACTAAAGAATGATTATTTACAGAAGGTAGATCACTAAAATGCTACATGATAATGCACATTTGTGACAAGTATTAAAAGAAAAAGTTCAATAAATATATACTCACATTTGTGAATGGGGGTACGGCGAGTTGGAGATTATTTGAGAAATTTCGACTGTACGCTTCAATTTCAGAAGAAAACGGAGCATTTTCGTTTAATCTCTTAAAATCGACAATGGAATTAATACCGCAAAGCTCAGCAAGCGCCATGTTTACTTTTTTATCACTTGCGCATTCCTAAACCCAGCAAGAAATGGACTTATGCACACGCAATCACGAAGTATACGATATACTAGTAAGAAAACTAACTTCCTTTTTTTAGCTGGAAATATGAAGTAACTCCTTATGGTAACTCCGCGCTCGGTAAGATTAGGGGAATGATTGTGTAACTCAAATGTAGTGAAAATACGAAAAGTGAATAGCTGTTAACCAATCGCGTATTAGGTTCAAAAGAAGACAAGCACAACGATTGGTTAACAGCTATTCACTTGTCGTATTTTCACTACATTTGAGTTACACAATCGACCTCTAGGACAGTCAGTAATATCATTTTTGACCACTGTAACTGCATACATTACATTTCACATCGCACGACGCATCATTTATTGAGTAAAGCACCGAGAAGATATTAGAAATTAGGGCACGATTACAATTTCTCCGGCGCCTTAATTTGACTCTCGTTTTCGGAAGTATTAATAATTCTGACCTGAACAAAAAAAATATTATTGTGTCCATATAGATCTAACTCTTTTAGTTTCCGAGATATTTATATTTTATTATTACAATTGACTAGATTCTGATTTTACCGTCCCTCGATTTTTATTCATACGAATCTATTTCTAAAAAAAATAATATAAGCAAAAGAAAGTGTAGACAGAAGAAAATTATCTAAGACTTAAATTTAAGAGACAGAATGTTGTGGAACGTCCTGCCACCATTAGGGATACAGTTATATGGAAAGGAATGAAGAAAGCAGAGATCAGTAGGGAGATGCATAACGCTACGGTTTTAGGCAATACCACAATCATGGCGCTATATCGTAGCAGCGAGTCTGGAAGTAGGATTTTGTGATCATCGCCACCCGTCGACAATGCGAATCCCGTCGTAGCCGAGCTAAATGTAAACACAAATGCGTAGCTTGACGG